CCTAAGCTATCCGAATAAAGAATGCAAAATAAAGTTTCTATTCCCCAACAGTCTGCATCTGGATGGTAATTTTAGCCTTTAACAACCACTATTACTGCATCAAGCTTTCATTTTCCATTAGAAGGTCAACATCATAACTGGAATTAGCAACAAATTTTATTTTTAAGTACTTTTAATAGTGACTGCCATTAAAAGGGCAGAATCTATTTGCAAAATACAGCTACATTTGGACAGTATAGGTAAAACCAAAAATCAAAAGCTAACGTGAAATAAATGTAACAGAAGAATGGTTTAGTCAGGAAGAAAATAGTGGGTTTTGTTTCTAAAACCAAAACCATCACATTTGAGACAGATAACTATAATGAAACCCAGCAAATTCAAAACAAAGTAATCATAGTTTACCATCTGCCTACAGGATAGGAGTATTTAGAGACTTACAGTGAGTGCATATGAAATTTGGGGAGGTGACAAACTAGAGACGGATTTAAATCCTTTTTTTTTAAACTAGTCAGGTCACTTTTTATCGTTAATCATGTCACTTTGTTCCACAACATAAATATGAATTTACAATGTATTATTTATACTAAATCCTGTAAGGCTTATCTCAAAACGGTCCCAACAGAGTTGTGTTCAGTGAAGGAGGGTAAAATATCACTAAAACAATTGTGACAAATGCAGGGCAAACCTCACTAATCTTTTCAAACAGGTTTTATGATCTTTCTAAGCCTTATTTGGGAAATCAAGACGATAAAAACTGTTATCACAAACCCCCAAATGTTGTTTTATACTAAGCAAACATTAATATTATAAGATATGAATACTAATTTCTGATTAAATGCTTTGTTTCCACTTTTTATTTTGATGACAGTATAATTTAAGGCTAAATACAGTCTTTTCAATTGAGTTTTGCATTTCCTTTCCTCAGGTCCTTAAAGGAAGCCTGTTTAAAATCCTACTAGCATTATCATAGAATGTTTGGGTTGGAAAGGACCTCCATAGGTCATGTAGTCCAACCCCCTGCTATAAGCAGGAACATCTCCAACTAGGTCCAACTCCTCAGAGCCTCATCAAGCTTGACCTTGAATGTCCCCAGGGATGGGGCTTCCACCACCTCTCCAGGCAACCTATTCCAGTGATCTATCACCCTCATACTGAAGAACTTTTTCCTGACATCTAACCTAAATCTCCCCTTTTCTAGCTTAAAGCCATTACCCTTCGTCCTGTCACTACAAACCCTTGTGAATAGTCCCTCCCCTGCTTTCTTGTAGGCCCCTTTCAGGTACTGGAAGGTAGTTATAAGGTCTCCCCAGAGCCTTCTCTTCTCCATGCTGAACAACTCCACCTCCCTCAGCCTGGCCCCACAGGAGAGGTGCTCCAGCCCTCGGATCATTTTTGTGTCTCTCCTCTGGACACACTCCAACAGGTCCACATCCACCTTGTTCTGGGGTCTCCAGAGCTGGACACAGGACTCCAGGCCAGGTCTCACCAGGGCAGAGTAGAGCGGCAGCATCACCTCTCTCCATCTGCTGGCCATGCAGCTTTTGATGCAGCCCAGGATGTAACTGGCCCTCTGGGCTGCCATTGTGCATTGGTGGCTCATGTCCAGCTTCTCATTTACTAGTACCCTCAAGTCTGTTTCCAATAGACTGCTCTTTAGCATGTCCTTTGCCAGCCTGTACTGGTAATGTTGGTTGCCCCTCCCCAGGTGCAGGACCCTGCACTTGGTCTTGTTGAACCTCATGAGGTTCATCTGAGCCCACCTCTCCAGTCTGTCCAGGTCTCTCTGGATGGCATACCATCCCTCTGGCATATCAACTGCCATTCACTTAAAATTCTGCAATGCTCAATGTTTGCTGATGCCTCCTTCTACTTACGAATACTCTGATTTAATGAAGCCAAAAGCCTGAAAAACAGATTCTTGTCATGCACAGGTCCACTTGATCCACCAATTTAACTTTGCCAATTGGGAAAAACCTTGTTAGTACTTTGACCATACAGAAAACAACACTGTATATAAGTTATTATTATATGTGTTATATATAATATATATATAAAAACTTATCACTGCAAACATCCAAGATTGCAAATAGCATTGAAGAAAATGGAATATACAGAATGTTAATACTAGAAAGTGAATACTTAATTATTAAGAGCTAAACAGCAATGAAATCAAACAGATTCTTTAAAAGTCTCACCAATAGCAGTAATAACTGTCATTAAGAAGGAAGTCTTTAACCTTACCCAATAGGCCTTGAAACAATAATTTCAACTTGAGGTTCTGATTTTGATTCTAAAATAATGTTGTAAACTTCTTCATTTGTAGCTCCAGGCAAGGGTTTACCATTCCATTCTAGAACTTCATCCCCTTGAATGTAAAGAGAAGTTTATCTCAATTCCATATTCTTTCATAAGTCAGTGCAAACATTTATGGAATGTATCTAGCCAAGCAACATTACCCAAATTCAATTAAAAACTTATGCTGAAACACACAAAAAAAGTTTTTGATACACTGTCAAGGCTCCTTTGTCAGAACACGGCCATCATTTGTACACCCAAAACATACTGAAGAAACCATTTGTGTAAACATCTTAAGTATCTCCAGAAGAATACAGGAAATGAAAGTTGTTTTTTTTTTAATTCCTTTATTCACTAGTAGTAATAAACTTTGAAAACAGGCTAATCATTAAAAATAAAAAATAGAAATACCTGCTGTTAAGCTTTTAAAAAGCATGACATTTTATTACAATTTAAATACTGTGCATTTTGATTTCTCTACAAAAGGGACAGTCGTCACTGCCTGTGTCAAGCGAACCAAAAATAATAGCAAGGAATGAGTCACTATCTCCTGGGGATGTTAGAGCAGAAAGAGAGGAAAACAATGTGAAAGTTATTTAGATAAGATTCTTTTTTCATCTTGCCATTTCTGGCATTTAAATAGTATGTATATTGTATTATCTTTTGCTCTTACTATAAAAAGGTGAAAAAACTGAAGTACAGTTTCTTTAGAAAGATAAGTATATACAATTAAACTGCAGAAACCATAAGGTAACAACTTTAGACTCTTACATCCCATCATATGCAGCAGTCAAAACTTCTCAACCACTATCTGATGCCCCAAATAACTTTTTAAATTGACAATAATTTTATGTTTATCAGTCAGGAACAACACTTCAGCTGCTGGCTATGGTCCTTTCTGAGGAGATCTAAGCCAAATTATCAAATTTGTGCTTGTTAAGAAACCAGGGAAAATGATCCTAACTGAAGTCCTAGCTACTAAAACACAGCGGCTTCAATTTCTCTTTGGATTCAGTAACTGTCAATCCTTTTTTTCTAAACAGCCTATATTTCGATATTTTAAGAAAGGACTCCACAACAGTATTAAGCTGGATTTCAAAGCATTTTATCTTTCTTTAAAATGTGAGGACTTGCTAATGACAGAAACGCTTGCTGACCTAAGTTAAATTTTCTACCGCGTTGTTTTTCTGAAAGGGTTTAAAATATTTCCTATATTTATGATGTTATCTTATGTTGGGGGAAAACAGGGATTAGGTATCACCTTCATTTAAAATTTATGCAACTCAGTGAAAACACTCAGTTTCTTCAGTGATTCTGACTATATTTTAAAGCTAACAACTGTTATAAACAAACATGTTGTTTTTCCTTAAAATAACATCTGATTTCTTTGGAGATAATTGGCTTAATTCACAAAAACACCCCAGGCATTAAAAGGAACAAGGTGTGGCCAGCTTTGCAATACTTCGAACTTAATAGCAAAAACCAACAGGGACATATGATAAAACACTAAAAACCACAATTTAAACCTAATTTACACAACAATGAATCTGCCACAGTTTGAAGACAACAAAATAGGTGCAACATGGTTAGAGAATCATGAAGAGCAAAATGAAAGGTGTCTTTGTCACTATTTTAAAGAACTGGAGCAGCTTTTCTACTTCTGAGAGTCACTAGAAAATTAAACAAGTAAAAAAAAAAAATTGCCAAGATGATTAAACATAAGATCATCATAGTCAGAATGCCAAATTAACAGAAGTGGCTCCAATTACTCCTACTGAAAAAGAGATACTGAAAAATGGAGATCTGAATGAAATGACACTTCTAGTTCTAACAAGATCACCCCCATCCATCTTTCACTCAGCTTGTCTATTTCTTGAACTCTTTGATGAGCCAAGCCCTTTTACATCATCTCTTCTGTCTAAAACACTGTTTATAAGGCCTACATTCTGCTTTCTGTTCTCATTAACAGGCATGGAAACAGGGAAATACCATCCAGATACCGAAAACTTAGAGATACGCAAAACCAAACAGGACACGATCCTGTGCAACATGCTGTAGCTGACCCTCCTTAAGCACTGAGACTGGCCTAGAAATCTCAACAGGTCCATAAAAACCTCACACATTCTACGGTTCTGTGATACACTGCTACAAATTCAGGTGAGGTGAACTCCCTGGTCTTAAGTCCCACCACATTAGCCCAGAGTTGACAGTCAGTCAGTCAAGGAGACCTTACACTGTAGGTGTTTAGGATTGCCAAGACAATTGCACAAAGCTGGCTGGCAGAACCTACAGGACATCTGTACTCTTATGGAGCCACTTCTGCTATGGAGGCATACATTCCAGGATATCTGAGATGCCTCTAGAAAGGAACATTAATGCATCTTGCATTCTAGCCCAACTTACTGATGCATGCTCAGAGACGGAAAGTTTTCAGACTCGTGCTGTAAATCTCTGAATCTTTTAATAGTGATTTCTAAAATGGTAATTCAGATTGGAGACACCTCTAGGGGTCGGCTTGTTCCAACCCCTGCTCAAAGGAGGGCCAACATCAAAAGACTGACCAGGTTGCTCAGGGATCTGCCCAGATGAGACAGGGGTATCTCAGAGGAAATGCATGCAACATCTCCTCTGGGCTAATACCGCCCTGTGTATGATTGGCACTTGCTGCAAGGGCACTCTGCTGACTCATGTTCAACGTAGTGTCCTCCAGCACCTCCAGGCACACTTCTGCCAAGCAGCTCTCAAGCTGATTGTCTCCTGGTGTTTACTGTTGCACTGGGTTGTTCTGTTCCTGATGGAAAACTTCAGATTTGCCTTTGTTACAATTTATGAGTTTTGTGCAATTTCTCAAAGATTTATCGACTAGCCAAACTTTGAAGGTTTTTCATAAAGACCAAAAAGCATGTTTTGCTAACAACAAGGATTCATTCATGCCTCTTTTGTGTGTTTTGTCCCATATCATACGATGAATAGACTTCAATTTGTTGAAAGCATCTACAAAACATTATTTTTCTGAGAAACTATTTTGGCTATAAAAATATTTTTAGAAATTAAAAATAGCTTTGATTTATAAAACAACATAGACCAGATATTAGAAATGTAATATTTCAGCTCAAATAGTTCAAAATTAGTAGAGAGAAAGTTACTTTCTGTAATTGTAATCTGCAGTTAAAAAATCTATAAAAAAACTACCATAGTTGGTGCTCTCAATCTCACATATATTACTTAGTAAAAAAAAAAAATTACTAGGGACTCATCTTTTCTACTTCTTTATAACTACTTGCTCCATACAATTATCTTAAATGCATTCAAGTTGTCATTAGAGCTTTGGAATTCCTAAGAAAGCATTGTATAGACTTTGGTTTGCTAAGACAACACTTGGAAAGTAGTTGCTTAAAGCCATGGTACAATATAAACCACTAAGATGTAACTTTGAAACTCAACTGCACAGTTCTCACTTCATTTAGAAGCTTGGAAACTGCCAACAGCACAGCCACCTACATACAACTTCTATGGGTTGTTTTCCATTTTTGTTTGTAACATTCCCCACAAAAGAAATAATAAAGTCCATTGTGTACACAGTGCAGCGTCCTTCACATGACACCATAAGACAAGTAAATATACCAAGTTTTACTTGCCATCATGAAACAGTTTTAAAATATGTTTGCATTGCTTCTATAGTGTCTAACAAGCAGCTCCAGAGTTAGGAAGCAAAAGTTTACCAGTGATACTCAGTCCTGACAACAGCCCTCATCAGGAGTGTCTTGTATTTCACTCATATATCCAAGCAATTGGAGTTAATAGTAAATTAGAAATGTAGGGAACTGTGGCATTACATAATAACATTATAGTATTGTACTTAAAAAAAAAATAGCACATCACATGACCAATGTCAACATAAATTAACAGGTGCATTACAAAACCTCATAATTAAAAGACAGTAACTTTTATATGCAACTGATTCATTTACCTGCTCTGAGATGCCCCACCACATCAGCCAAGCTACCTTTCTTCACTTTGGTAATGAAGGCACCGAGTCTTCCTAATTCTGTCATTTTTCCCCCAACAACCTGGTTAATCATAAATTTGTGAATTTCCAAGCCACAAAACAGACATCATATCAAGCATAAATATATAGACAGATCAGTTTTCACATTACTCTCAAACCCAAAATACGTATAACCAAAACCATTGTCAATTTGGGCATTGCAGGGGCTTAAGGACAAAGTTAAATATACAAAAAGGCCAGATCTACTTGCAAAGAAGTAAAGCTGACGCAGAATTCATAAAATTTATATTCCTTTTAATATGCTTGACTCATCAATCTTGCGCAGTTTGCCAAGCATCTAAATTTGTTGCAGGAAGAACGTCTTCATAAATAACCAAGAAAATGGAACTTTTGCAAATAGATGTCTGTCATGTGCTTAAGTTTAAACTGCAAGTGCACATCAAATCAAGCATACGAAAATCCCAAAATGCAATTGGTACTTTTTTTTAAAAAAGCAATTAAAAACTTAGCAAACACACTACTATGAAACATGGGCAAACCGTTCATAAGAACGTCACTACTGCAAAACCTCAGGCTGCCTTATCCAAGCACATGACAGCATGAAACAGCAACTTCTGGCTTTTGTTAAAGAGAAATTAAGAGTAATTTTTGAAGATAACTGCATGATACAGAGATCAGAAAAATCAGAAAAAAAGTGCCATCAAGAGATTAAATTTTTAATAAAATATATACCAAGAAAATGTAGTCCTGCTGACTTACTATTCTCTTTAGCTATCTTATTGTCTCCAGTCAGTCTTTTTTGTCAGGAATATCCTGGGAGGAGTTTTACAATAAAACAGTGGAATGACAGTTCATTAGGTATCATTTCCCCATGCTGCAATCACAGTAACTAGTAGGATTTTTAATACAGATATATATTTCCAAGAAAATCTAGAAGGCTACCTGCCAACAAGTTAACCACAAGATAATGTGTTAAACTTATCAGTGGGGGCCTTAGTTCATATCATACGGAACTGAAACTGGAAAAATTGAAGAGATGCTCTCCAATGTATATTTCCTTCTATAACCAACCTTTTTGTCTCACATATTGAAAAAAAAAAATGCTTGCAGACAGCAAAAATCAACCTTGTGCTGCAGACTGCTAGACATTTACTAGTGTGAAGCTGTTCTCATCTTCTGTTTCCACACCACAGTATCTCACTTTAGGGTGGATAAACGGCTCTTACCTAGGACATGCCATTACCAAGTTCACAAGGTTCTTTCCTGATTTAATTCCCACCATGACAATCAGAACCCACATCTCAATCGCATGCGAGGGACCAAACTATCAGACAACTATATGCAAGGAGTAGTTCAGTGTCAGTGCCCTTTGAAGTAGACTCAGCCCTAAGTGGATGGGAATATTTCATATTTTGCATTGTTTCTGCTCAGTGGGGCGGGGAAGACACCTGAATTAAATTCTCTCAGTCATCTCTGGACCTAAATATAGTTAAAATGATATACACATGGAGAGAGAAACGTTTGAATTGACACACAGTACTCCCCAACAGTTTCAGAAGCAGCACATTTTCTCTTTTAAGTGTTCTAGCAATTTAGGGACATGAACCTAAAAGTCCACTACAAATGATTAATTTAGTGAATTAAATCAAAAGGATAGTGTTGAATGTCAATGTGTTAATTTTGGGACACTGGATTAGCTGGAATTACATTTAATAAAATCTCTACTATGCTTTAAAAGTTTTTTTTCCTAATTTTTATGTAAATGTTTAGTTCCATTCTACAAAATTTCTGCTTCTGAATGGTTGTGTAGATTTTAAACACTGACCTTGTAAACATTTGCATCTGGATGACATTTATGCACATAGATTATGAGATGTGTTATTTCAATGAAACGCAAACAGTAGAGCTAGGAAAGGGAGAACTCCATTAGTGCATTACAATGTGGAGTGTGTGTCTTGCAGACAGGAAGCTGAATGAACGTACACTTTTTAATCAAAATCGTTCAGCTCCTTTGCCATGGATGAGTGTAAGACTGCACAGAGGATTAAATACATTTACATTCATAATTTACCTGTATAACATTGAAAGCTTGCTAAAAGTGAGGAATATATTTGTGTCAAATGACCATATAATTGGAGTCTCCTCTGATTTCATGTGCTCCATCTCTAGGTCTGCCAGTGGAAACTTCTTTCATTTACCAGATAAACACATAATACTTACTTTCAGCCCCAGTAGTGCACCTGATTCTTTTGGCATGGTTGTTCTCTTGTTAAGAATAACACGCCCAATTAAGCGATCTCCTTCTTTAGAAGGCTGCCACGTTACGGGATGCTGTCACAAAACCAAGCAGTGCAATTAAAGAAGTGCAACCATCTTCCTGTGTTTCAATCCACATTTATAAACCAATAAAATTTCTGGATCATTACATCACAGTAGGCACGAACATCCTCCAGATGTGTTACTTACTGCACCCAAACTTTTTATTATTACATCTGTTGGACTATGGTTTCTGTTACTGGAGTGTTCTGGACTGCTGGCTTCATTAATTATTTATTTATTAAACATTTAAGTTATATAAGAATTATAATACAATTCAAAATTCAATACAATTAATCATTTAAAATATACCTTAGGTAATGAAATTAAACATTTAAATTCCATTACTCTGAAAAGTGTATTGATAAATTCTGCTCTTTAGAATAATATACATGTTATGCAGCTGTATCACATGAGTTCACTTTATAATAAAAATCAAAATGATCCTCTCCTACACCAAGCCAACAGAAAAAGTCACTAATGTCCCAGAGCAGTATGACACTCACACTTGATTTTATGGTGTAAAATCTATGGTGAAAAAATGAACCTATGGTGTAAAATTTATGGTGACATCTAGTATGTCTATAAAAGAATTAAAATGAAAATTCAGACAATTTTAATAGTATTCATTTTGATGAAAATTTCTCTCTCATATCAATTTCCATGAACAACTAAACCATGAATTATATGAAACTAAAATTCCATATAATTCATATATGTTTTTATAACAAAATATCTATGCTGAACTGAAATAGTAAGCAAACATTTTAATTCATATTTATTAACCTCTTTTTTCATATTTCTTACCGAACTAATGGGGGATGTCTCCCTGCTGTGCCACGTGGCAGGATCCAGCCAGTAATAATCCAAGTCACCTGGAGGAACATGAGTAGAAAGAAATGTGTAATCTCTCAGACAGAGAAAGATGTATGAATGATTACTTCTGTACACAGGAATTTTAATTTGCAATAGTTTGATGAAGCAAGTACAAGACCTCTATTATAACTCGACTTATATCAATTTGAAAACAATACATCCTAATAATATAAACCCCAAACCATATAATGCATTTATTTGGTTTATAAACTGCAAACTGCACCTCACAAACTGCACCTCAGAATTGTTTGTGCACTCCAGCTGTTTTTAACTTTGCCCAATCATCTTCCAAGAATGGACCCCAATCCATGGCATTCACTGCCCTCCTCATCCTTCTCCTCCCATCTCCATAACAAACACCCAGGACTACAGCTAATGAGGACATGAGAGAATACCCACAAAATAGGCACTTAGCTATATTAAGGACTGAGCAGTCAATCACACTCAAGAATCTGTGAAGTAGCTGATCAAGACTGCGACAACAGGTACTGTACAGATGGAGATAGGCAGGAGCTGGTAATGGGTAGGTAATAGAGAACCAGGGAAAAGAGCCACACAAATAAAGCAAATAGTACCAACTGCAGATATGAGGCTGCAGTCTTTCATTCCGCTTGGGACAAACTTATCTACTACATACATCATGAATAAACCCATGAATTACAGTGGTTTGGAAGCCATGAGCCCATCAGGCTAAGGAGGGGAACTGTGGGCAGGGTGTGGGGGAAAAGGCAGCAGAGCATAACACCACAGACAGTACATACAATTAATGGAAAGCTAAGGAAAGGACAGTTTGACTTAATATATTACAGCTATAGAAAGCTGAGTTGGTAGCAAAAACCTACAAACTTCACTAGCACTTGTTTGTGATAGCAGACTGATGTAATTGTGCACTCCGAGGACAAAAAGGACAAGGCAAGAACTGCAAGATTAAGAATATTGGACAGTGCAATTCAGAGTACAATTTTCTTTACAAAGAGGGAGGGTGCAGGTGATATTGGGAAGGTCATAAGAGAATGATGCAGACTAGAACAGATCCAACAGAAGGATAAGTGTGAGACTGACAGCAGGAACAAGTCTGAAGGATTTCCATGCTAACACTAGTTTTAAAGAGAATATGTCTGTGAGCTCTGAACTGTGGTATTATTTCACCCCTTTGGGCATTGCCACAGTGTATTAACAAAAGTGTCATTAGAAATGAGAACAACTACTCTTTCAAATGCTCTCTCTGCTATAACAGTAGTATATAAAAGCTTGGTCTGAAACAACCAAGAAATATTTTTAAATTTGATCTGAGAAAAAGTAGGTGATTCTGCCATTTAGCTTACTATGCCTTTAAACATGCACACTATCAACCAACCCAAAATCTAAACTACCACTTTTACAGTTAGTTTTAGACCTTTAAAGAAATACAGTCACCTCTCACTGAGGTTTATATCCAGATTTGCACATCAGGCATTTTCCACTCTCAGTTTGGCAGAGACCCTTGGTCATTTGAAATATGTTAGTGCAATGGTTTGATAATACTGCTTTTAGAATTCATGAGTGCACATTTTTTTCCAAGTCTTTAAATTACTATGTCCCAGAGTTATTTTTCATTACAAAACAACTCTTGACATGTTTTCCCAATAACACTCCTACCAACTCTTTACTGCCCATTTAAAAGACACCGGGTAAAAATCCTACTTTATCATTAAAATCAGATAGATACTGTCAATACCCTCTGCACTCATGGTACACTCTATGTCTTCAGAAAACTTATTTTATTCATTATGTACACTTTAGGCAATACATCTTCACTATCTTGCTATATAAAAGACATCTCTGTAGTAATGCTATTAGATGACTGCTCTTACTGGCACACAGGCACCCAATAGAAACCCAAACAAAGCATGATTCTAGCAAGAAAAAAAATAATACATTTACATAAGGAGTTTGTTACTTTTGACTAGTTTTCTACAAATATTTAGATACTGATTACGAAATACAAGTTGTGTCACTCTTCATTATCCACAAAAACTTTAGTACTTTACCATCTACATGATTATATGCACAAGGCTTTTTTTAAAACAGCTTATTGTTACCAAATGCATAACCACACAAGGCAGTTTGTGGTTGCATTAGCTACTGCAGTTCTGCAATTTTGGAGAGCTTAACTTCACATTAAAAACCTTTCAGTTTTATTTTTAGCATCATTCCTTGCACCTTTATATACGTCAGAATTGCAGCAAGAACAACAAATCAATGAACCACACTGCCATACCAAGTGCTGGAAGTAAGCTGGGAGCTGTGGGACAGATCTCTCCCATTTACAGTAATGGACTCAATAGTAACACCAAAAAGCAACTCTTTCATGTGTGAGCTGGCCTGTCACTGGCAAAACACGACACTTTGCCTCCATGTTTCACAGTTATGCTCTTCCTCTTCCTTTTGGCATATTGATATAAGGGAACTAAAGTAAAGTAGAAAATTTATAAAACTAACCATTTATATACGTAAAATAGAAAACTTGTAAAACTAAACATAACAGAAAGCTGAGAAGTTAATTGCCTACAAAAAAAAAGAGAAGTTAATTGCCTTGCTGATCCCTGCAAAGTGATTAAGAAAAACAGATGCTCCTTTGATCTACCACCCAGAACAGCCCTTATCCAGGGAAGTGGCCATAAAAGCTAAGATTCCCAAACTTTCTGCATCTCTCAGCAAAACAGAGAGAAAGGAACCATTGAGACTCAAGGTAACATCTATTACAAAACTATCAGAAGAAAAATCACAACTAATGAGAGAAAGCAGACACATCAAGGAAGAAAATCACAGCTAATGAGAGAAAGTGGATACACCAAGGACAAGAGCTGACCAGAACTGGCCCAAAACCTGTCAGTTTGCCAAATTACCTCATTCCAGACGAGGGGTGAAACGTACATTGCAAGGAAGACATACGGCCTTCCTCCAAGGGACCCTTGCCCACTTTTCCAAGACCCCGGCCCACAATTACCAGGAGGATCTGCACAAGCGCAAGGAGCTGATAGACTAATTATAATATGAAGCGGGAATAGGCGGGGTTAGGTAATGAATATGTATAGGCGTCAATTAAATATGTAGTGTTTTACTGTATAAATATAAGATGATTTACTAATTCGGGGTGCACGCTTGTGGTGGAGCGATCCCCCGTGCATCTGCGTGCAATAAACATACCTACTTTATAACTTTCAGGTTATAGAGTCTGTTTCCGTACGTCAATATCATGATCACTTGATTCATGGATTTATCATCCTTCTCCACCAAGTTCCTGCTGTAGCAAGACCCTCTCACATGTCTTCTGTCTTAAGCTAATTTTCCCATCTTCACCAACTACCTACCCTTTGCTGCCTGCCTTTCCTGTCCATTTTGTTCTCACTGTCCATCTTCTGTCTCCTGCTTCTGGCTTTGGTGTCTTTTCTTTAGGTTGCGTATTTTAATCCATCCTTCCCCTCACGCTCCTTTTTACTAAGCTACATCTGCACCACCCCCTCCCTCCCCACACCCAAACCTTCAGCTTTCTGCCCCACGCTTTGGTAAGTTCCAAGCCATCTAATTACATCCACCATAGCCAGCCACAGTACTTTCACCCTCTGACTGCAGAAGGTGCAATCAGGAATTGCACTGCAAGTGCAGCTCTTCTGAGCTGGAGCATGAATGGTAGGCTAAGAAAGCATAAAGGTAGCTACCAAATCAAAATTTTTGACTAGAAGTGCCAGGTCTACAATTTGGTGAATATTTTAAAAGCTGTAAAAATGCATGAATCAGGGAGAAAAAAGTCCATATTCTTGAAAAATTACTTGATTTTAAAATTCCCATTAAAATTTAGAACAAAATAGACCACTGACACGCAAACTTTTGGCTGAATCAACAACTGTAAAAAGACTCCACAATGGTAAAAGTCAGTTAATCTGCATTCATCAACACTCACAGAATTAAAACATAATTAAAACAGAAGAACAAATTCCCAAATAAGCTTTAAAAATATTTTAAAGACACTAGGATCTTGACATCTGAGCTCAAGAGTTCAGTACTGCTACAGCTATACCTCTAAAAATACTTTCTCTTTGATCATCCTATGTCTTTGCTACTTCTTTACTTAAAGACTATTTATGTCATTCTTGCACTACCATACTCCAGAACTGACTATTTGTTTAATCACACAAAATACTTTCACTGAGCTAATATTACAGAGAAACAGGAATAAGTAAAAACATGACAAAACTTACAATCCAAGAGCATAGTTTCAGAATTTCAGATTTTCTCAAAAAAAACCCCACCAAAACTCAAACACAGTACTCTCTACACTGGCAAATGTCCCTAAAAGTAACAAAATAAGTCAAATTTAAGACATTATAGAGAAGTAAAAACTTTTCTAAGGAGTAAATAATTGTTTTACAGGCATAAACTGCTTCTAAACATTTTCTAAACAATGCTTTAAATTTAAAACATGAAAACCTTAAAAATAATAAGTCCCTATGAAAACAGACATATACTGTACCATTATTTTGTATATTATTGATATATTTCTAAAGCACAAAAAAATGTATCTAAACTTAAAAGTATAATATTCAAAATGCATTTCTAGTTATAATGCATGATTTACTTAAGACCAATGGAGTGAAATAAGTATATAAGAGTTTTTTTCCTGATTGAATAATTCAGAAGTTGTATCCTGCTAGCAATTAAATATTTTTACTATTAACACACTGTTGCTCTATTACTTTGCTGTTGGACACAAACAGATATCATCAAAAATCTACTTTACAAGACAGAAATGTGTTGAGTCGTCTTCTAAGAGAATTCTTTTGCAGTCTTCGATCAAATTTCAAGACAGAGAATAAAACTCCTAACTCATTGCTGTTGTTTTTACATCCACAACATGTGTCCCTTCAAAATAACGGGAAAGCAAAATTCACACCACCAGAAAAATGTTTTCTCTAGAATACTTCATCTTCAGTGGCACTGCCCATACCAAAAGCTGCTG